ATTTAATGATGGTGCAAGGTACATCAATTCAATTTGCAGTTCTATGATCATCTCCTTTCTAAACTTCACCCACTTTGAATTAAAAAACTCACCTACCAACTAGGTTCATTTCCTACATTCAAAGAATCTTTAGAGGTATATGGAAAATAAAAGATCAAAAATTATAACTGGCCCCAGAAGACCACTCACTGTTTATATTGTTTAAATCCTTTCCTGAACAGGGGTCCCTAATCTTTACCAAAGTACTAATTCTGATTAACTTTCAGATAGAATCAAAGTTCCTGTACACCCTCAGCAGAGAATCAACACGCTGTATAATAATCCAAACTATTTCCTAATGAAAAGGAAATATACTCTCTCCTCCAAATTGCAATATCTCTTCAACAATCTTTGCCAATTCTCTTTTCATGAAAGTATGGAACCAGATTTCTAGGTCTCCTGGTTTACAAGAGGTGTGGGCCTGAGGTTTGGCATCACTCAGGCTCTACTGACCCCAGTAACATCACCTCCGACTTCTTTTTTTTTTTTTTTTTTTTTTTGACAGGCAGAGTTAGACAGTGAGAGAGAGAGAGAGACAGAGAGAAAGGTCTTCCTTTTTCCACTGGTTCACCCCCCAAATGGCCGCCACGGCCAGTGCGCTGCACCGATCAGAAGCCAGGAGCCAGGTGCTTCCTGCTGGTCTCCCATGCGGGTGCAGGGCCCAAGCACTTGGGCCATCCTCCACTGCACTCCTGGGCCACAGCAGAGAGCTAGACTGGAAGAGGAGCAACCCGGACAGAATCTGGTGCCCCGACCGGGACTAGAACCCATGGTGCCAGCGCCACAGGCAGAGGATTAGCCTAGTGAGCGGCGGCGCCAGCCCCGACTCCTTTTCAAAACTACTAAGAATAAAGTAAACTTGTTTACAACATTTAAATATTCTACTAGCTTGTGATATCGAAGGAGATATATGTAAGCCAACAAAAACATGGTATTCTTTTAAATCCCAGTTTAATAGTAGTGCTATGATACTAGCTTTGAAGGAATGTTATCCATTCAAAAATTAAAGTTTTTTTTTTGTAAGCCAAAATAAGTTAGATCCACATAGACTCACCTATGCTTTTTGCCCACCTTATGTCCAAATAACTTAATACTCTAGAGCAGTGCTTTATGATTTCGAACCACTAGCTCTCAGAAATTTTGTATATAAAGAGGAGTGTGCTTCCAAACTCATTTGACCATCTCTCCAGACTATATTCTTCTTGTGAATACTGATAATGTTAAATAACAAATTGAAAACTCAAATACATTGTAGTTTAGAAACCTAATTCATTACACTAATGAATATCTTTTAGCTTACTGACAATATGAACTGCATACTATGATAATTGTTTTAAAAGCTTTCTCTCAGTCCTCATAGCAGCCCCGTGAGTCAGATACCCTTGTTGTACCCATTCTATAGAGCAGGAACTGAGGCCCACAGAGGTCAAATAATTTGCACAACTTAATATAGTTAGTAACTAGGAAAGCCTTGGTTTTAAACCAGGTCTATCTGAGGCCTTAATGACTGAGCCGCCTCTTTGGTTAAATGATATTTCTTTGTACACTGTGGGTTTTAGAGGAATTAGTAGAGTGTCAAGAGAACAATTTCTATTGAGCTTTGTAAAGTTTAAGTAGAAGCAGCGAACCTATTGGCTAATTGTGAAGGGAGAAGAGAGAAGAAAGGAGTAATATAAAGGAAGGAGCAAAACACACGTTAACACTATCAAAGAGGGGGAAAACAGAACCAATTTGGCAGACAGTCTCACAAGCTGAAATTGTGAAATAATCTTGCCTTTGAGGTCCAGGAGATCTGAATTCCTGCTACCAGTCTGCTATATAAATTATCATTATAAATTAGGTTATTTGATCTCCCTAGGCCTACACTTTCTCATCTGTAAAACAGAGAATTAACTGCAGACTTGCCTGGACTAGTTACATAGTGTGAGGATCAGAAAAGTTAAATGTTGTGAAAATACTTTGGAGATTAAGAAATATATGAAAAATAATAAATCCTGCTGCATGATACACTGCCATAGTGATTTAACGCTTGTTAGACCACAGGATTCCTTGTAAAAGCAACTCTCAAGGAGAATTCCAATGCAAGAAGTGCATAAAAAGCAGAGCTGAGTGCTGGAGCACAGTTCCTGATCCCCCCCCACCATGAAAGTGGTGAGGGGACCTCAGGTCCCCTAGGGTTCCTTTTAACACTGCATTAGCACAGTGAGGGAGGACAGACTGCAATGGATCTTAAGAAAGTCCTCTGGTCTTCAAGCCTCTATTTCCCCTACGTAAAAAAAAAAAAAAAAAAAAAAAAAAAAAAAAAAAAAGGTTTGGATGAAATAACTCTTCAGGTCTCCTCCCACTGTGACATTCTGGAAATCTAAGTTTCTGGTTCTAGTGTCATTTAAGAGAAAAATCTCCTTCCACACTGACTAACAGTATCCTGCACAGACACATGCCCATCCACAGTATCCTGAGGGACACACTCCCCCAGGCTTCTCAACTGTCCTACCAGCAACAGAGTCGACCGACCCCATGCTGGGTTGCATAAATGCTGAGATGCATTTGTTCTCTCCACAAATTATTCTTGAGCTGCTTCTCTGTTAAAGATGTTCTGGGCCAACATGGGGCCCTAGAATGTATACACTTTGGTCTTATCCACAAGGAACCTGCAGCAAAATGGCAAGATGTGCAAACAGCTATATCTCAGGGCTCTAATGTGAATACAGGGGGCACTCAAGGACTGGCTGGCAGCACACTGGGGTGCAGGAGGCCATGCTCCCACAGCCAATTGCCAGGACGCAGCTCCTATGGTCTTGGGGAACTTAATGCACTTCTTTGTGTCTCAGTTTTTTTCATGCTTAAGATGCAGATGATAATTAACTACCTAACCTCATAGGTTGGTATGAGGATCAAAGTAGTTAAAACGCCGGCGCCGCGGCTCACTAGGCTAATCCTCCACCTTGCGGTACCGGCACCCCGGGTTCTAGTCCCGGTCGGGGCGCCGGATTCTGTCCCGGTTGCCCCTCTTCCAGGCCAGCTCTCTGCTGTGGCCCGGAGTGCAGTGGGGGATGGCCCAAGAATTTGGGCCCTGCACCCCATGGGAGACCAGGATAAGCGCCTGGCTCCTGCCATCGGATCAGCGCGGTGCACTGGCCTCAGTGCGCCAGCCGCGGCAGCCATTGGAGGGTGAACCAACGGCAAAAGGAAGACCTTTCTCTCTGTCTCTCTCTCACTGTCCACTCTGCCTGTCAAAAAAAAAAAAAAGTAGTTAAAACACAGAAAGAAGTTTGAAGAGTGCCTGAAACACAGTCAGTATTCAATAAACTTCAAACTAACATGATTCTCAGCCCAGGATTTAGTCCCCTCCCACCAAAGTAGCCTCTGGAGACAGGGTACCAGGGTTCCAGCCAACCTCACTACCAAGCTGTGTCACCTTGGACAACTTAACGCACATCCCTAAGCCAGAGGAAATGGCACAAACTTTAAAGCACTTAAGCTCAGACACAGCAACACATAATCAATGGTAGCAGTTACTGCTGGTTCATGGCTGTGACATCTCAGGGAGAACTTTTGGTTTCCATCTGAAGGCACTGGGAAAGACATCAATCAAGGTGAAGGTGACATCTGAGATGACCACCTGGTACATGTCCTGGTTTTGGGGAGCCTGAGCCGAATTCTGGCTGTTGGTAGACCTGCCCATCCTTCTGCACATGAGCTGCCAGTTCTGCTTCCTTTTTCTCTTTTATATCTAGAACCAGCACAATGATCACAGAACAGAACACAACTGAGTAAAGAAAGAGAGAGATGATAGAAATAAATGGAGAGACAGAGGTAAAGGTAGAGATACTGACAGAACATCTAAGTATGTGTAGGTTTAGGAGTCGGGTGTGTGTGTGTGCATGGCATGTCATTCCGCTGTTCCCAAAGCATAATTCCTGTTGCCTTCAGGACTGAGGCACCCTCCTCAGGCTGACATTCAAAGCCCTCTGTTACCTAGATGCTAGCACTTTCTATTCTCTTGACCTAACTTCATCTTCCACTCAAGATTGAATTTACACATTGGACAGAGTCCTTCTGTTGCTTTTGGGCTCAATTTTCTTTAGGCTGAAAAGTTTGGTTCCAACCTTTCCTTCTTTCATAATCTAAAGCCCTGCCTCTTCCTGCTGCCTTTTACCCTGCAGGGGATCCCACACTTTGTTTTATTTCTCTGAATTCTTAGATCCATTCATTTCTTACTTCTGGTTCCAGGTGTATGTGTGTGTTGTGACTACCGAAGCAGACCAGAGTTATTTTCATAAGGATGATCAGATTTCTCTGTCTCACTCCACCTTTCCACCCTCCACCCCAGTGTTTCAACTTTGTCTTGCACACAACAGGAATTTAGTAAATATTTGCTGAAAGAGTCAGTATGAATAACCTTTTGATACTTGAGAAATTAAGGTTGTCAATCGCCAGTTTTGGGTACTACTATATGATCAGTATTATAATCATTTATGCTAGGAAATAAGTAAATAAAAGATAAGATAACCATCCCAGAAGTCAAATCTAGGTAGAAAAATAAGCTATCCTAAAATGCAAGTAAAAGGAATGTAATGTTTAAATCACGTGATTTCAACAACATCTCAGAATGAACTCAGGGAAGGCCAGGGTTAATAGGATGGAAAGGGGATTGTGGCCATGTAGAGGGAATGAAGTCCCCATAGCCCTGGCTCGCACTGTACACAACAGCTTAGCTGTGAAAACAGCCCTCACCACTAAGAACAGGCAGTTTCCAGGTTCAGCTCCACCTATGTGAGGCATTTCGCTAGGTGTAGAGTTGCGGTAACCTGCCTTTCACTTCTTGTTGTTTTCTACCTATACTTTGGAGTCCCCAGAGTGCCCCATACAGTGTGGTGTGATGCTGAGCTCCTTTCTGGTGTTGGCCAGTCCTGATGACTCAAGCTCACCTTACATCTCCATGTTCTTCTCATTAACAGATTGGTTACTGGAATGAAGATGATAAGTTTGTCCCTGCAGCCACGGATGCTCAAGCTGGGGGTGATAATTCAAGTGTTCAGAATAGAACCTACATCGTCACTACAATCCTAGTGAGTACCCAGTCCTGCACTAAAGTTACCTGGGGTCCAACTTGGACTAACATAAGGATTTTCTACCAGAAATGAAAGCTGCTTATTATTGTGGCCAAAATTCTGCCGTCAATAAAAACAAGGACTGGTAAAAAGGACTGCCCTAGAAATAAGAGGTTCTGAGCTTTCACCCTGTGTCTCTTATTTCATCAGCTCACATTCTGCTCTTGGATAAGCCACTTACATTCTTTTGAGCCCAATACATTAAACTTAATGGTGAGATTAAATCGTGTCTGTTTTCAATATTCTTTCAAAGAAAATCATCTAAAGCCCAGCACCTCTGTAGAGTAGAAACAAGTGAAGCTGCTGATTTGAATGACTGATGATTGTGAAAAACCTGGAGTCTGTTAGACTATTTCCCCTTCATGGTGCACCCAGAGGAACCTCAGAGAAATACAGAGCCCCTAGAACATAATTTGAAAAGCTCTGTGCTGTATTTCATACAGTAACTGATGAAACGATCTTGTTTTAACAAGCTTTCCTTCTTTTACCCAAATGTTAGTGGTAGGCTGGGGGTAGAAATCCAGGAAGTAGATTTAGGGGCTAGACAGACTTCTCCTATGTTGACTAATGTTGGTATACTCTCCTCTGCCATGCCAAAGTCTTGAGCCATGGGTTAACCCATAACCCAGATTCTCTGTCTTCTATTTTCTCTACCAGGAAGACCCTTATGTGATGCTCAAGAAGAATGCCAACCAGTTTGAGGGCAATGACCGCTACGAGGGCTACTGTGTAGAACTGGCAGCAGAGATTGCCAAGCATGTGGGCTACTCTTATCGTCTTGAGATCGTCAGTGACGGGAAATATGGAGCTCGAGATCCTGATACAAAGGCCTGGAATGGAATGGTGGGAGAGCTAGTCTATGGAGTAAGTTCCCTCCAGAATGGGATACTGTAGGACAGAAGAAGAGGGTTTAAGAGGAAACCATTTGATGGTTGTGTGTCCTTGCTGTTAGAGTCCTATCAGCCTCCATAACTGAAGATTGTTGCTGCAACTTCCAACTGAGTCAGGATACCTCCTCAATCTCCCTATTATCTAAAGTGTGCCCCTCCATTCCCCACCTAGAACGTCCTACTCCTTATCCAAACCCTGTATCAAATATTAGTCTTTCCATGGTGTCTTCTTTCTCCCCACAATAGGTGTAAACTTCCCTTTAACCCTCTTTGCCTTACCCTGTAGAATTTAGTTTCTGCTTCTTTTAAGTCTTACACTGCCTTATAGAATGGCTACCTCTATAACAGTGGTAGGTCTACTGCATCTTTTTTTTTTTTAAATTGGCATTTTCAAAGTATAACTACACGGTACTCTTTTTTATTTGTGAATGGGATTTCTTTCTTTTGCTTTCTTTGTTTTCATTTTTAATTAGTTTTTAACATATTTCATGTGATTTGTAGATATAATTCTAAGAACATAATGATATTCCCTTCTTCCCTCCCTTCTTCCTTTCCCCTTCTGCTTCCCCCTCCCTTGCTCTCCTCCCTTTTTGAGATAACATATTTTAAATTTACATTAGAGTAAAAAGGTTTAATACTTCACCAAATAAGAATTTTAACAAATAAAAACCAAAAGACCCTAGTTTAGTGGGACTTTGATGGCTATAAACAACTGAATGGGAAAATGATCATTTCACCCATATGCAGTACATTTTAAAGTAATCACAGATCATTAAAACTATAGTAGTATGACATTCTTAACCACTGGCTTGACAAAGGTGTAAAGCAAAATTTTATAAAACTATATTTGCAGTAATACTTATATGCACAGACTTTTCTTTCTTCTTCTTCTCCTTCTTCTTCTTTTTTGAATTTTAGCTCCCACACATGAGGAAGAACAGGTAGTATTTGTCTTTCTGGATCCAGCTTATTTTACTTAACATGATGTCCTCCACTTTTGTCCATTTTGCTGCAAACGGTAGAAGTTCATTCTTTTTTATTGCGAATATGTGATATATACATCACAAATTCTTATCCATTCATCTAATGATGGATGCCTTATTGGATTCCAGATTTTGGCTATTGTGAACAGTGCTGCTGTGAACATGGTGGTACAGGTTATCTCTCTGATACACTGTCTTCAAGTCTTTTGGGTATATACCCAGTAGTGGGATTGCTGGATCATATGGCAAGTATATTTCTAGTATTTTAAGAAATCTCCACACTCTTTTCCACAGGTCTATAGTTCATTTTCACATCATGTGTTTGGTTGTGGTACCAAAGTAATGCTGGCCTCATATAGAGTTTCACAGAGTTCTACCTTGTATAATATTTTGGAATAGTTTGTATTGTACTGGAACTACTGCCTTTTTCAATGTTTTGTACAATTTGGTAGTAAAGCTATCAGGTCCCATATTTTCCTTGATGGAAGACTTTTGATTACTGCTTCAATCTCATTGCTTGTTATGGATCTGTTTAGGTTATCTATTATATGGCTCACTATGGTTGAAATAGCTCCATATACAATTTCTGTAAAATCTTTAATAAATTGAGCAGTTCTTAGAAACTACCAGCATTGTTCTAAGTATCTAGGGAAACACTAAGCAGCAAAAGAATCTGATTACTTGGGAAGAGGAATCTCAACATTTAACAAGGTAGAAAAGAAAAAGAGAACAGACAGTATAGAGTCTAGGAGTCTAATCTATATGATTTAGATAAGGGCTAAAGATGTGAGTTTGTTCAGTCCTCAGAAAGAAAGGATGTGGAAGGGCCAGTGCTGTGGTATAGAGGGTAAAGCTGCCACCTGTGATGCCATTATCCCATATGGGTGCCAATTCAAGTCCCGGCTGCTCCACTTCTAATCCAGCTCCCTGCTAATGTGCCTGAGAAAGCAGCAGAAGATGTCCCAACTGCTTGGGCCCCTGCATCCACGTGGGAGACCCAGAAGAAGCTCCTGGCTTCGGGCTGGCCCAGCTCCAGGCATTGAGGCCATTAGGGCAGTGAACCAGCAGATGGAAGATCTCTCTCTCTCTCTCTCCTTTCCTCCCTTTCCCTTTCTCTCAGTGTATAACCCTCTCTAACTCTGCATTTCAAATAAATAACTCTTTAAAAAAAATGAGTGAAAGGATATGGAACTTGAAAACTGCCCGTATTCAAACAGAAAGAAAAACATCCCAGGAATTACAAAATATAAATAAGACAGTAGTGGAAGTAGTAAAGTCTAAGAGCAGAGTAAGAAAACACTGCTGGTTTCTGTTGAGGTCTTAGATTGAGGAATCATCAGGATAACTATAAGGCAATGGAAGAATTCTGCTGCCCTGGCTCCACACCCACATGTAGAAAATTCCAGGCAGGCTCTGTGAGCTGAAGCATTTGCAGAGCTCCAGGGAACCCAGGTCTACATTCAGTTCTGGTCAGAATAAAGCAACCATGTCAGATGACTTTAAATCTTACTGTCTCATATCAGGGCAAATGGTGTCATCATGGCTATGGGAGACATACAAAGGGAATTTAAAGAAGGAAAAGATTGACTAAAGAACAACTGCCTCAGGGAGGTGGCTTTTGAGCCGAACTGTGAAAGTGACTAATGAGTTGAGGAATGGATAAACTCATCTTTCCCCTGTTCTGCTTCCTTCTACTCCCTCTCACTCCACTGATGAAAGATAGAGACCTGGATGGTTTAGGCTGCATCTGCAGGCTGGTTTCCATGGGAACTTCCACCAAGCACTTAAGGTCATCCCCATGGCAACTGTTATGAACTTTTCACCTTCTCCAGCATTATCTTCACCTTCACCTCATGTAATGCGGTTTCCTTAGTAAAAAGCCTGTGATCTGCGCAGAACAAAGGTATCGAACCTTCTATGGGCAAATCCCCCAGTCGCCAGCAGTGAGTCATTGGCCCTATACAGCGCAAACAAGCTGGATGGCTCGGCTGCTATCCCAGACCCAACTTCCCAGCCTTCACCAGGCCTGTCTCTCCACCCAGTATTCTGTCTGAACACTCCATGGTGCACCTATTGAACATCCTCTTTAATTTTACCTTGACTTTCCTTTTCTGTTCCCCTGGGGAAGAACAAAGGGATGTGGGGAAGTATCTCTTAATCACAAACCTCCAGTGAGGTCAAGAAAATTCATTGGAAGGCCTCCAAATTCATTCTTTCTGTGTCTTATAAACAGCTATCAATTAGTCTCTCTTTTCTGCCTTTAACTCCGCCTTATTTTTATCACTAATTACACTTCATGTAGTATGTGGCAGGACCCATGCTAAATACTTTACTCACATTCTTTCAATTACTGCTCACATCAACTTCATATGGAAGAAGAGATAATTTTCTGCACTTTATATGAGAATGCTGAGATCCAGGGAGCTTAGATAACTCCTAAGGAACACATAGCTGACGATAGCATAGTCAGAACATGCAGCCCTGGCTTTTGCACCCCACAGTGGGACACAGTGCTTCTGTAGAAATCACACCACATACTGGACTGAAAAGCCAGTATGAACTGAGACCACAGCAAAAGGTATCCTCAGCAAGAGAATGGAGTGCCCCTCCCTACACATACAGCATCTGCTCCTTTCATGCATAAGTTTTTGTGCCTTACTCACAGGTATAATTCCTCTCTGTTCTTTGTCACAGCCAAGCAGAAAGGTAGTGTTACCAACAGAAACCTGGATTTGAGTTCCAACTCTGCCAATTTACTGACTACATGACTCGTGTAAGCCAGTGACCTCCTCCCAGGGTCTCAACTCTAATATGGGAAAGGTGAATCCTTTATGTCAGGGCTGTGTGGGAGTATTCACCTATGCAGTGCCTGGCTCAGAGGAGATCTCCATCCCTGACAATTCTATCCGTTTTTGCTTTCTTCTGCCATATCAAAGTTGGATTCTGTTTTCCCAAGAGAGTTTCTGGGCATCAAACATTTCACTGGGGGATCTCCAGGGTCAATGGTTCTCAGACTGCGGCCTCTGGTCCAGCAGAACAAGCAACACTGGGAACTTGGTAGAAATGCAGATTCCCTTCCCAGGCTCTCTAGCTCTGCCCTCTGCTTTTCATAGCCCTCCAGGTGATTATGATGCATACTCAAGTTTAAAAACCATCGTCCTAAGATGTCAACTTCAGAGCCTGTGAAATGTTCAGACCTCACAGCATTCTCCTGTACTTGAATTATTTTTAAATTTTTTTTAAGATTTATTTATTTATTTGAAAGGCAGAGTTACACAGAGAGAGGAGAGGCAGAGGGAGAGAGAGAGAGAAGAGAGAGAGAGAGAGGTCTTCTACCCGCTGGTTCACTCCCCAATTGGCCGCAACGGCCAGAGCTGCGCCAATCCGAAGCCAGGAGCCAGGAGCTTCTTACAGGTCTTCCACACAGGTGCAGGGACCCAAGGACTTGGGCCATCTTCTACTGCTTTCCCAGGCCATAGCACAGAGCTGGATTGGAAGCAGAGCAGCCAGGACTCGAACTGGCACCCATATGGTATGTCGGCACTGCAGACAGTGGCTTTACCCACTATGCCACAGCGCCAGCCCAGTATTTGAATTATTTTGACCCTCACCACCAACTCCATGATATAGGTAAAACAAGAATCTTATTTTGTCTCTTTGTTTAATAAGGAAATTGTTATCCCAGAAGACAACTGTTTCACTTAAGGCTGCGGGGTCAGCAAGTTGCAAAGAAGGGCCATGTCTTAGATCAGCTCTGCTCTTGACCAACCCTGTGAAGCTATACTAACTACCTCATTGGTAAAACTCAACTCCTAAAGTCAGTCAAGGTTGAACAAGCTAAAATACTGCTGCTTTGCACAAACCATGTTCCTGTACAGGACCTGAGTTTCTTCTCTGTAAAACAGGCAGTTAAACTTAACTCTCTTTCACTATGTGTTTGTCCTACACACAGGGCTTCCTTTAGGGAAATGCCCTACGGCAAATAATTTTAGAAATTTTACCCCTCTTGGAAATTCTCAGTGCATAATGAACGGTCTTTTAAAATTCCTAAGAAGTCTCGCCCCAAAGTAATCTATTTAAATGCATATTTCCCAAATAAGTTTATTTTCGTGTTATGCTTATTAACATTAATTCAGAAATTACATTTCATAGAACACATTTTTGAACTGCTATAAGCACTGAGCACTAAGGTGATGGGGTTCTATAATTCTGTAATCTACGATCCCTTTATTAACTCATATCAGAAACATTGCAAGTCACTTCTGTTTCATTGCTCCCCCATTGCTTTTCTATGCTAAGTTACAGAGAAAAGAGTGGATATCTTCTCCCTTGACTAGTTAGTAAGTATTTGTAAAAATTGTTAATATTATAGAGTATTAAGGAAAGAGAAAACAAGATTACTATGAAATTCACAACTGACTTCACATTGCTTTATGGAAAATTTCTTTCTGTAAGTGAGAATTTAAGTCATTCTGAAGCCAAGCGTTTCATTCCATTTAAGCACTTTCTCAGTAATCCCTGCCAATGAGTGTAACCCGAGATCTGTTCTAAGCAACAGCCAGCCAGTGGGTGGGTGGGTGAGCAGGGTCCTTGTCCATACAGCATTTGTCATCAGACTCACATGTGGGGACACAGCATCATGAGACACCATTCGCCTCAAATAGACTTGCATAGGTATGTCTCTCATCTCAGAAAGCAATGTTGTGACATCTGTTCTCAGAAACCCTCTTGGGTTTCCAGGATCTCTTGATCCCAAGCCAACAGAGCAGTGGAATTTTACTGAGTGGCTACCAGTGTTTTTGCCATTTTATGAAGGTAGGAAAGTTAGAATGAGACCTGATAATTCTATGTTCAAGAATGAGCACACTCTTCATGTTTCTCTATCTGCTGGCTTTGAAATTTAAATATTGAATTAACCGTGTTATTTCTTAGCCAGCTTCTTGAGAAACAAAAGTAGTTTTGATTCTAATTTACCATCTTGCCACGAAGCTTGTATTCACAAAGATCCTTCCTCTTGAAATGCTGTTCCATCCCAGAACAACCTGAGAAAGCCCCACCATTCTGCCAATGCCAATTTATATGCCTCCTTCATGAGGCATTCCCTGGCCTCCCCAGCCAGAATGAATCCCCTCCCTGGTCTTCTGTGTATATTTTATCTCTTGGACAGCACATATCCTGTCTACCATGTAGAATGGAAAAGTAAGTGTGTGTGTGTGTGTGTGTGTGTGTGTGTATAAATCTGTCCTACTAGTTTCTAATTCTAACCTGAATGTGGAGATTGTGGAGATTCTAATTTACTTAGAGCTTCCAGCCTAGAGCTTGGACATAAAAACATGCTTACTGAATTAGATTTGCCTTGCTAGCAAAAATGATCTTGGTGGCAGGTTAAAGACTCAATTCAGGCTGGCGCCGCGGCTCAATAGGCTCATCCTCTGCCTTGTGGCGCCGGCACACCAGGTTCTAGTCCCGGTCGGGGCGCCGGATTCTGTCCCGGTTGCCACTCTTGCAGGCCAGCTCTCTGCCACTTTCCAGGGAGTGCAGTGGAGGATGGCCCAAGTGCTTGGGCCCTGCACCCCATGGGAGACCAGGATAAGTACCTGGCTCCTGCCATCGGATCAGCGTGGTGTGCTGGCCGCAGCGGCCATTGGAGGGTGAACCAACGGCAAAGGAAGACCTTTCTCTCTGTCTCTCTCTCTCACTGTCCACTCTGCCTGTCAAAAAAATAAATAAATAATAAATAAATAAATAAAAAAATAAAATAAAAAAAGACTCAATTCAAACTTGCCTAGGCAAACAGGAGGATTGACTCATGTTTCTGGTGACAAACAGGAATATATTGACTCACATTCCTTGAAGGGGTCCCAGAACCGATCCTGAATTTAGAGTGGGCCAACTGATCGTAGCAGGGATCACCCCCTCCACCTCTCAGCTCTGGCTTTTAGGTATCATTCTAATTAAACCCCCTGGAGTCCTGTGCATCCATGAATGACTCTTTGGCCAGAAAAGTATGCTGATTGGCCAAACTGGGTCATGTGCCTTCTCATGTGATCTGTGTGATCGGCCCTATTCCAACCTGAAGGCAGAACTGAGAATGGGGCAAGAGTGGTTCTCCCACCAGAGAAAGGAGGCATGACTGCTGGCTGCCAAAGCAATAGGTAACACAAAAGCTCCCTCCTTGAAGAATGAGGAAGAAGCATCTAACAAGTAAGAACGTTGAGTGACGGGATAACCGCTTCTGTAGCTACTGAGGTGGCCCTCTATTTGTCAGAAATACATTACAGAGCAAGAAGGGATGGACTTCTAAGACTCTCTTGTACTCTCACATCCTTTAGGATACAAAAGAATGTTCACAGTGAAAAGAGAAATAAGAAAACAAAATTCAACCACATTTATTTTTTTTTTTCCAGAGAGCAGACGTGGCAGTGGCACCCTTAACTATCACCCTGGTCCGGGAAGAGGTTATAGACTTCTCCAAGCCATTTATGAGTTTGGGAATCTCCATCATGATCAAAAAACCACAAAAGTCCAAGCCGGGAGTCTTCTCCTTCCTTGATCCTTTGGCTTACGAGATTTGGATGTGCATTGTTTTTGCCTACATCGGAGTGAGTGTCGTCCTCTTCCTGGTCAGCCGCTTCAGCCCCTATGAATGGCACAGTGAAGAGTTTGAGGAAGGGCGTGACCAGACAACCAGTGACCAGTCCAATGAGTTTGGAATATTCAACAGCTTGTGGTTCTCCCTTGGAGCCTTCATGCAGCAAGGCTGTGACATTTCTCCCAGGTCAGTCAGCTCTTCTCAACCTTTTTTGTTCAATGCTGCTTTTCACTCAGAAAAAAAAAAAAATACTAGGACATTTAAGAGATAAGAATTCCGTCCATACTTTTCTGTATTCAGTTTTCCAGTTATTTACTGCCAACTGTTCGTTGCATGCGGTGGATTACCTAGACTCACCTGTGGCTGGGCTAGTTCTGCCTGCTCTCTTGTGATGTATTCTGTCAAGATTAATAGGCTTATCCATGACTCCAATGTTCTGTAGTTCAAAAGTGCAGGAAAGACTGAGGGGAGAGCATAGCATAACTAAGATTTACCGAGCACCTATCATATGCCAAAGAAGATCCTGAGTGCTCTGTGTATACCATCTCACCGAATCCCCACAGAAACATGAAGTAGAATTCTCATTTTACTTCCTTTTACAAATGAAAGAACACATAAATGTTGTCTGTCTTGCCAACTCCCTGTAGCAGGTGGGCTTTCTTTGTGGCCCCAAGTAGGTCATCTCTGCCTACCAGACACTGGCTCCTTCATCTTAAAGAAAAAATGATCATCTTTTTTGGTTTTAAGATAGACCTTGGAAATAATCTAGCTCTACTAGTGATGTAACTTTGTTTCCTATGATACAAAAAGGGGCAGGTCTCAAAGATGCTTCATATTGCATTAAAAGCACTAGGGTAACTGAATAGTAGAGTTTCAGCCTCCCCCATGAAACCAGAGTGGCTCCTTTCTGTCTGTGTTAGCTATGGGGCCTTGGAATATAATCTATTTTGGAAAATGGTGATTCTGAAGCTAACAAAGGAGGAAGGGTAGAAAGGAAAGGTGGGGGGCAAGGGCAAAGAAATTTGAACACTACCAATCTATAACAGTTCCCACATTCCTGACTTCCTGTCTTTATATGTAATGTTCTTTCAGCTACATTCTAGAATGTTAATACCACAAATGGCTTCCGATTTACCTGATGAATAAGCCCTGGCTGTATTTCTTTTTCTGGTTGCTTAATGTCTATGACCACTTTTTCTACCAGGCATTGTTTGTAGATTACCAAATCTCATAAGTATGCAGGAGGGCATGGCTTACAATTTGGCTTTCCCAGAATTTCTGGGGGCATGAATGCATCAATATCAAGGCCTCATGCGGCTGCACTGGACATATCTTTACCATCTGTCTATGTTTAGCAATTGGGTATTGATGAAGACCAATATTCCTGAGCAGCAACAGAGTAAAATTTCCTAACAAGCTTCCCCCAGGACTTATTTTGACTGCTGTATAATTTAGAAAGTCTCATCATGTACCATTATAATCTTGTTTTTCTTTAAATAAGGAGACAGTCAGCTGGGGGAGGGGGAACGTGGGAGAGGAGGTGTGAGACTGGATGCTTGGCCAATACTGGCAAACACATGGTGAAAAGTGGAAAGAACCAGGCAGGGAAAGGACTTGCTTAAAAATAAACCATGCCAGTGAATAAACAGTGGGCAGAAATGATTTTTATCTAGTTAGTATAACATCAAATAATGCACATGTCAGAAAAGATCCAAGGATCTGTTTTTCTCCATTATTTCCCTCACTGGGGCATCTTACCTATTTATAGCACCCCTGTGGTCTCACATTAGGGTATGTGTTCAAATTCCCCACCATTTCTCCAGAGTCCTCAAGGTCATGGTTCACAAACCAAGTTCTCTGTCAGCACATCTTCTTTTGTTTTACCCATGCAGAGTTTGGCAATGCTTATCCACAAATGAGTGGCAGCCACCTTCTTTAGGGGACCCATGCACTTGCCATTTCCCCACAGCCCCAGCTGACTTCCTTCATTTCTGTGTAACTCAGCTGGTCCCAGAGGGTATTTGAGTTTGGGGCCTGTGGCTGCAAGAGGACTTGAAAACTGTGTGTGTTGGACTTCTGGGGTTCCCACCTGGGTATTTTAGGAGCTGGCATTGAGATGAAGATGAGACAACAGCAATGCACCCAACTTTCCTCCTTCCTAGCTTTGCTCAAACAATTCTACTTTGTGCCTATGTCACTGCACCGAAAAAATAGGAATCATCACTACCTGAAGCATTCTGACAAGGTTTGCAAGAAATCAACACATGTGGAACCACAATGCCCAGCCTTCACATAGGAAGCACTTAAAATAGATGCTTTTAAAATTATATTAGTGATTTTATCTCTTGGCTGACTAAGCTTCACTGGAAGGAAGAGTGTCGTCGATTACAATGACTTGAAAGCTATGTATCCACATCTGGGGAGGTCTAAGAACTAAGAAAATAACTGGAAGTTCACTCCAGAGACCAGCAATACCTGGTTTCTTCTTATAGGAACTGGGGGAAAGGATCTGTGACTTTAGATGAAAGGGGCTGACAGACACAGGCATGGACTGCCAGCCCAGGAGTTTTATCCAGTTGAGTGCACTTCTCCTTGTCAAGCCCACCCTAATCCCAGAGTTGAGGAGCCTGTAGAAACAACCTCAAGAGAATTTATGTCTCTTGAAAATACATATAAAGAGAAAAGACATGGAGGAGTATCTGACCTAGTGGTTGAGATGCCACTCAGAATGGCTGCATCCCATATAGGAGTGCCTGAGTTCAAATCCTGGCTCCACTTGTGATTCCAATTTCCTGCTAGAGCACGCCTTGGGAGGCAGTGGTAATAGCTCAATTACCTGTGTCCCAGACAAACATACGGAAGACCTAGATTGAGTTTCCTGATCATAGATTCAACCTGGCACAACCCCAGAAGTACTAAGCATCTGGGAAGTGAATCAGTAAATAGGATGTCTCCTTCTGTCTTTCTGGTTTCCAAATAAAATAGATAATTTCTAAAAAGAGAGGACAAAGAGATGGAGAGGTGGGAGGGTGGAAGAGGAGGAGCAGGGAGAGGAGGGAGGTGCAGAGGGACGGGGAGGAAAGGGGAAGAGAAAAGAGATATATTGTATCTTACCTTGGGCCAGACAGGAGGTAATGATGCTAAAATGGTGAACAGGGAGGACCAAAGACCAACCAGACAATGATCAATGCCAGCAGAAACTGTTGCTATTGTTATTGTTGTTTATATATTTCCTGATGAAGTCAACCAGTTTCATAAGCCTCTCACTGGGTGTTACAGTGGAAAGTATTTGCATATGTTAAACATCCCTCCAAATGGGTTCATTGTTCCTGCTACTTATTTCAAGAATATACCATAAATCTTTGGGGCTGGCACTGTGGCGCAGCAGGTTAAGCCACCACCTGAACAGCCAGCATCTCCACCAGTTGGTATCCCAGCTGTTCCACTTCCAATCTGGCTCACTGCTAATGTGCCTGGGAAAGCACCAGAAGATGGCCCAAGTGCTTGGGCCCCTGCACGCATGTAGGAGACACTGATGAAGCTCCTGGATCCTAGCTTCAGACCAGCCCGGCACTGGTTGTTACAGTCATTTGGGTAGTGAACTAGCAGATGGAAGATCTGTCTCTCTCTCTCTCTCTCTCTCTCTCTCTGACTTTCTAATAATAAATAAATAACTCTTCCTAAAAATATATGCCATAAAACCTCGCTAATTTAGTATTGGGAGACTAGGTTCCCTCTGAATTACATGTATCTATATACATACACAAATATCTGCACCTCTTTCTAATTCTTCAAATTTAACATTAATGTCTAGCAAATTAAAACCAACAAAATATGGCTAAATGTAGTTGTCTACAAGTTGCAAATCAAGCCTGGCCACAGTAAAATGAACGGATGGGGGTGATCTTTCTCATGCTGTAAGAAATGTGTAGAAAACAGTGGCTTTTGAGTCAGTGAAATCAGGATTAACTATTCTGTGGTTGTCTTGGCCTTTTGTTCTTATTCCCAAGATGGTAGCTCCTAGATACCTGTTCATGTTCAAGTTCAAGCAGCATGAAGGACAAGAAGTATTCCCAGCTCTTCTGTCTCACTGGATCAGGAAAACAAACCTTAACAAAATAGTCCCCACTCCTAACAGACATCCGTTTCTATCTCATGGGTCAGAACAGTGGCCCATGATCACTTCCGATGGCAAGGAAGATGGGAAGTTAAGAATTTAGGAACTGCAGCTGCTGGCGCAGAGGAGATAGGAACAGATGTCAGGAGCGGCAGATGGGCAGTCAGCAGCCTTGGTCACTATGTCACAAGTGGATATCTCCTCCCCTGGTACCAGGAATAGATCAAATAATCTAATTAACACATTCATTGATGTATGCCAGGAAATGCTACTGAAATGCTTTAAAGACTCCTCCTCTCTGCCTTTGAAATGTTTATATGATAAACTGATTTTGTGTAGCCTATTTTAACATTAAACATTAAAATTCAGCTTAGCTGTGATCAAAGATTACAAATTTTCTTCATTAGGTTGATAGTGAGATTAAAAAGCCATCCGTGAATTGGCTGCTTTGTCAGCCTGCTCCTTGTACCCAAAGAACTATTTTAGCAGCTACTTTAGATTCCTTTTTCCATACATAAAAACATTCTCAGAAGGAACATATTAATGGGGGAACAAAAATCATCACAAACAAAATTTATCTTTGGTTCCCCTAACTTTCCTGTCTGTACCTTTTCCCTCTATTTATGGCCAATATCATTTATTCACTCAACATTCATTACTGACTGCCACAAGATGCACAGCATGGTTCTAGGTATGCAATCTATGAAGATATATTGATGAGGGAGACTGGGGGTAGGAGCCTTTGCTTCCAGGAGCTGGCAGAACAGTGGCATGAGACAGACATTAAACAAGCAATTGTGAAAGTATAAATTGTGATGTGCTATGAATAAAATGAACCTGCTGTTGCAATAGATAATAAAGGAAGTGGAATTAAAGCCGAGTTACTTAGAGTGTTCCAGGAAGGCTTTCCTGCGGAGCTGAAGGGGGAGGAGGGAGCTAGACTTGCAGAGAGCTGAGAGACATAAACAGCCTTGTGCATAGGACCTCAGGTAGAAAACAGCTTAGTGCTCTCAAGGCCTGGAGCAGCAACCAGTGTTGTCTGGCTTGTGGTGAATGAAGCGAACAGGGG